ACAATGCCTTTATTTGTATGTGGTGCTGAGGATTGAACCTGGGTCTGCCCTTGCTAGGCAGCGGTAGATCGATCTACCGCTGAGCCACAATCCCAGCCCTATGTAATGGAATTTAGAAATTTGTATTTTGATTTCTGAGTCAGTGTGCTCATTATACTTTTTTGATTATCAGTGTTAACATAGGACACTGAGACTGGGAAAGTTAATTGAAAAATTATACATTATAATTTTCTGGGAGCAAGTTCCATTTATGTCTAGTATAATGGTTTGATTAATGCTGAAACTTAAACCTTGACAACAATGTAAATTAGCCTTAATGAATTTGAATTTTATTTTTCTTCCCTATTCCAAATGAAGCAAAAGATAAAGTTTCATTTGTTCTTGAGTATTTACTCATTAATGTTTGAATCAGATAATTTTTCTCTTTGAGACTAATATTTTATAACATTCTTATTGATGTTTTGGAATTTATATGGTGATATATATATATCTAAATGTCATATATATATATATATATGACAAATTTCCCATAAAAACTATTAGTTTTTTTTAAATATTGTAGCTATTACACAAGTATATATTTAACTTCATAGTATTTCTCTAGAAGTTGTGTTATGTGTATGACTGTGGTAGGATGAGAATTGAGACATAACTGTCTGGCCAGTATATTTTCCACTGTCCAAACTTGCTGAATACATTAACAAGTGCTTTAGTCAATGCCTTAAGAATTCAATCTGCAATTGGCCAAACACTTATATTATGGGAAAGAGGTGTTGGTAGTATATATAATAAGAACAATGCTTTCTGAGGAGATCCTGCTATGCTAATCAAATCCAAGTTAAAATAGATCAGAAGGATGCTGTCTGGGGATTTTGGGCCACTGGGTAGAAGCTGGTTTAGATTTGTTCTCAGTGGCCTCAAGGTGTATATGTAGAATTACGAATGGTATTTATCATGAGCCAGATTTTGCCTCATTGTGAAAACCTGTCTTCCAAATGGTACCTTTGACTAGTAGTGACACATTGAATTGGGTTCAGAGGCTCTCTGTTCTAATTGCAGCTCAATTCCTGACCAACTTTGTGGACTTAAGTCTTAGTCGTCTGTAACATGGAGATAATCTGGTTAACTTTCAAGGGTGTTGTGAAGAGGGAATGACTTTAATTGTCACTATACAGTACTCTTTATAGTTTACAAAGTGCTTGATAGTAGTTGAAGTAGTTCAGCAAACTAAGTGTGGCATTAATGTCTTTTTAAGATGTTGAATGTCCTCCAAAAGCCTACTTGTTGAAGGTTTGGTCTCCAGCCTGAGACATTATTGGGAGGTGATGGAACCTTTAGGATGTGGGGCCTAGTGGAAGGAAGTTAGGTCATTGGAGTTCTAACCTTGGAGGGGATATTGGAACCCCTGACCCTTTCCTCCCGCTCTCTTCTCAGCTGCCATAAGGTGACAACTTTGCTCCACCACATATTCTTCTCTGTGATGTTCTGCCACAACTCAGATCCAAAGTGACAGGGCCAAGTGACCATGGTCTGAGACCTCTGAAACTGTGAGCCAAAATTAACATTTTACCTTATTAATTGATAACCCCAAGTGTTTTTCAGAAACACCTGTAATGGAAAGCCAAGGCAGCTAGGCAGTCACTTGTCAGGGCATTTCCAGTATCCTGTATGTGGTTCAATTTGTTCATATGTATTCTTTATTTCACTCTAGAGATTCTATCAGGAAAGACCTATGCAACTCACTCTTTGAGTTTTTGCCTCTTTATTTCCAGGTTGGATTTTATCTGAGGGCCCTTCAAGTGCTAGCATTTTAGTATTCTACAAGCCTGTAACTACGAAAGACCATTTATCTTCCTCTTCAGTAGTAAAATAGCTGACTATTGGCTAGAGAAAGTTATATTGCCGTTTTCATGGTTGCCAACTCGTGTTGTGATTAATTTTAATGTTTGCTAACACATGCAATAAATTCTCCTTGGCCTTTGTAGCATTCTAAAGCATATTTTCCTCTTTAGATACCTTCCCTTAGGCAAGGCAAGGGAAGTAGATGTTTGGTCTGAAATTTCTATTTTTAATAGAAAAACACATGCCTTTTTGACACTTCTAAACATAAAGAGTTTTATACAAGCATGTATTTTAGGATGCATTTCTTGGAGAAACTGAAAATAAAAAACAGAGTTACCACTATGAATTTGGCTAATGAATGCATACCACTCCCATGAACAGCTCTGAATTCTAATTGCTAGTAGGAAGTGGTCTCTTGTCTGCCTGTTCCTTACCCTAGGGAGAATTTTCTTACCACTTTCCATTTTATCACTGGGAGAGTCCCAGCTTGCCCTTTGTCCCAGAAATCATTGTCATCATGGATCTTTGCTGAAAAAAAAAAAAAAAAAAAAAAAAAAGAGAAGTCCTAGAGCCTTTCCATCCCCAGCTTCCTCCACGTGGAGGTAATAAAACCCTTGGCAACCATGTTCCTTGTAATCAGCATGAGGTAATTTTACAAGCTACCATGAAAGAGCCATTTGTTGAATGTCTGCCTTGTGACAGCCATTTGCTGATGGTTTAATATGCTTTGCCTCATTTAAATCTTAAGACATCTTTAGGAGGGTGGAGAAGCGAAAAAGCAAGTTTTTTTTTTTTTTTCCCACCATGCCCAGAGGAACTTGCTGGCCTGACCCAGCCTTACGTGTAATAGCCTAGAATGGAGTGCTAAAGTCAGTTTCCAGGTTAGGGCAGAAACGATCTCAGATACAAGTGTTTTAGGAAGTGCTTTTTAGTTACAAAGCAAAATGTTTCAACACTGTTTAGATGAGTCTTGGAAGTGGAGTGTAGATGGTGCCCTGCAGGTAGGTGTACATGGCGTCAAGTGGAGAGGCTAGTTCTTTGACTCACAGCCAACTTCCTGCTCTGCACCCTGTGAAGGGCTTTCGTATCTCTTCTCTAACCCTGCCATTTGAAATCAGGCTGAAGTGAAACTTCTGGGTGGCTTAGTTTCCTTTCATGGCTGTTAAAAGAAAAAAAAGTACCCATTCTAAGCCATTGTTCTTACACTATTGCCAGATCTAACATGTCATGTCTTGTTGCATTACTAACATATCCCCAACTTCAGTATTTCTGCAAGATTGTTGGCCTAAGGTCTGAAGGTTAAACTTTTAACATATTCGACTCAAATTCCTTCCTTTTTTACTTGTGCTTTTGGTACTTGTTACGAGGCCAACCTCTCTTAAAAAAATTTTTTTTTTTTGCATCTTGAAATGTTAAAGAGGTTGTTACCTAATTAAAGAGTGACACTGAGCTGATTTCTAGCGGAGAAGCCTCTAAAAGCGCTTTCTTAGCATATACCCACCTCTAATTTTAGAGAAGGAGCAGACCAAGGAATACGAGACAGCTAGTTTTAGAAGCAGGGTGAGGAAGACAGAGAGATTGTTGGGTCTGATACAGCTGAATTCCCTCATGCAGGAGAAAAGGGGGCTTGTCAAAGGCTGTGACTGAACTGGTGTTAGGGATTGTATCCCCAAAGTTTAAATGATATTACAAGGTCATGGGGAGGTAATGCTCATTGCCATTCTATTTGAGAGACTTCGAGGACTTTATACAAAACACTCCATGGCATCGAATGTCCCGGGAGTGAACACCTTGTCATTAACTGGGCACTCTTGGTGCAGGTTCAGGTGTACTCCAGGAAATCCACTTTTGCTGAGAGCTCAGTAAGGGTTTAGTCATCTTTTCATCTTAGTGAGGCTATTCCTGGAAGAATGAGGCAATGTTAATAATAATACTCTACATTTATAATAGGGCTTCAGAGTTCGCAGAGAACTTTCACACAGATTATCCTTTTGTGCATCTCAGCAGCCCAGGGAATTAGGTGTGGCAGTTATTATTAATACTTTTATTATGCAGTAAATTTAGAATTAAGACAAAATATATGACCAGCCCAAGACACGTAGATTTTTTTTTTAATTTAAAAAAAATGTGTTCTAAAGGAGGCAGAGAGAGAAAATTAAACCCACATGTACCCCACTACCACCAGGAGAAGTCTTTTTGCAGAAGACTGTCTTGCCCTATGTTTCCCATCTATCAGCCCAGACAGTCCTGTGGTCTTAGTTCCCACACAGAAGCAGATTGGTTATTTACTGTAGTGTAAAATCAGATGTTACCTATGGGGAGACTGTTAAGGGGGACCATAAATCCAAGGCCCTAAAATGGAAAGAGATTTTGCAATCTGAGGTTTTATATTTGGCCAACTTCACTTTCCTCAGCCCCACCTCTGTTTTTTGACTTAGAGATATCATGGGCACAGTATTCAACTATGGTTTCCTATCTTGATATTTGGGAGCAGTATTAGGACTATACTCTTGGTGTTGTTATGTATTTGTTCTGTTTTGCTTTATGCTTCCATCACATCCCATTGTCTCTGAGGTGTCCACACAATGTTCATTCAAGGTATTCAGAAACTTGGGAAATGGATGACTGTAATGATCAGCTGTGATTGTTTCTGTTTTCTGTGTAGCTTTGGCTGTCAAAATATCTACCATGGATTAGTATTAATTGTGTTGGGTCAGATAAGACACTGATCTCATACTATCCATTAAGACCAGGTCCCCCATCACAATTAAGAAATGCTAAGTAGGGGCTGGGGATATGGCTCAGCGCTAGAGTGGTTGTCTCGCATGTGCAAGGCCCTGGGTTTGATCCTCAGCACCACATAAAAATAAATAAATAAAAAAGTATAATAATTATATTGGTTTTATTTCTTTACAAATCACACTGGCTATAATTTTTTTTTAAAAAACTTAAACTAATGAAGAAGGGTTTATTTTAGCTAAGTACAATTATTTGAAAAGGATGTTAAGGGAGAAATCTAATAGCTAGAGGGTGGGTTATATAACTTTTGAACGATCTTTTGACTTAGAAATTCGAAGATCCCAAAACTAGGCAATGAAGGAAGTCTAAGAAATGCCAGCAGCCTTAGTTACAGTGTTGTGTTTGTTGGTTTGTCATAGACTGCCTTTTCAAGGTGTGCCCTATGAATCGATATTCTGCCCAGAAGCAGTATTGGAAAGCCAAGCAAGCCAAACAGGGGAACCACACAGAGGCCGCCTTGCTGAAGAAACTACAGGTAAGGGCCAGGCTGCATGTGTCTTGCTCAGGCTGGACTAGAGCAGCAATAACAAAAGATGTATTCACAGCTTTCTAGCTTTGTGATGTCACCCAACACACAGAGATTTCAGATACACATTGAAAAGTGTAGGGAAGTTTTAAGTTATAGGGTGTGACCACTTGTTTTCTGGCAATACAAGCTGCCATTTTTTTTAGGGTGTGCCAGACTAATTCAAAGCTTCACATTAAACTGAAAACCAGTTCAGAATCTCTGTAGGAATATTAAGATCAGGTATATATTTTACTTGACTTAGTATGGAATTCGTAAATTGGAAAAACAATTTAAAGATCATTGTTTCTGGTTTTGCTGAGTTTAAATTTAATAGAACATAGAAAATAAAATTCCTACTATTTTTTAGAATAAAAAACTATACTTTGAGACTTTTGTAATTGACCTTCTATCCTGGTTGGTGTTTCTAGAAATATTCCTTCTTAAAGCAATTTTATAAGACCAAAATGTTTTCCTGAAATTTCCAACATAAAAGTAACCCAAGACATTTTTGGCTACAGTTCAGCATGAGTTGAGAAATTATCACATTATATTACAACCACTTATTTAATTATTGCTCTCTATCTCTCCCTCTCCCCAAACTCTAAGCAACCAGCCAATTGTATTTCTGGTTATATACTTTTTACTAAAAAAAATATATTTCTTTGTTAATTATTATCCTCTGTTGACTCTGTTTCCACACTGAATATTTGATAATCATTTTATAGCATGCTGCAGAACTGGAACAAAAACAAAATGAATCAGAGAATAAGAAACTGTTGGGAGAAATTGTGAAATACAGTAATGTTATACAAGTAAGTCTCTACTTTTTCTTAAAAGGGATGGATATTTTATGGGTAATTATCCAAATTATTCATTTGGTTGGAATGCCAAATAAAAATTTGGAAATATAATAGTTTGTTCTTCAGTGAGAATTACAAATGTTGTGATGTATTCAGTTGACATTCAGTGCACGATTCTGTACATCTAAAAATAATCCTGGGATAGGTGCATAGCTCAGTGGCACAGTGGTATAGAGTTTGCCTACTTTTAGTGAGGTCCTTGGCTCAATCTCCAACACTATCAAGGGGGTAAAAAAGAATAAGTCTGATATATGCACATAAAGAAGTGATTGAATCAAGGTGTATGTATAAAAAGGAATAAGGTAGGGGTTGGGGCTATATCTCAGTGGTAGATCCCTTGCCTAGCATGTGTAAGGCACTGGGTTCAATCCTCAGCACCACGTATAAATAAATAAATTAAATAAAGGTACAAAAATGCAATAACATAATAATAATAATAATAATAATAATAATAATAATAATAATAATAATGGAATAGAGTTTCTTTTCCTGAGGAAAGGATTTCTAACGGTCTATAAGAAGTAATCTTTTAGATTCATGGGATTACATTTTGACATCAGGGTCTTTATATTTATCTTTTATAGAGAAAGGAAAAATTTCAAATTGTACTTTCAGATAGAAATCCTCTTTGAATGTTATTAGAAGGTTTTCTACTTCAATTAATATGCACACCCTGATTTATCTCAGCTGCATTCCTTTCCTGTGCTTCATTTGGATCTTTTTAGCTTTTTTAATAAATGCCCCACCTTGTTCCAAAAAAGAGTGTAAGACATTTTCCAAAATACATAACACATAACAAGATAAAATGCAAATAGTTAAGGCAGTTGAGTCAAAGGGAAAATAATGACTGCATGAGCAAGCTGAAGTTAGGGGTGAGGCATGCTTATGAAAACCATGTGATAAAGTCTGATAAACTTTGTCCTGAAGCCTTTTTGCTGCCTGCTCAGCCATAAGGGAAGCTTCCTAAGCTATAGCATTAGCATTGGAGGCTCATAACATATGGCCAAACAGAGGTCTAGACTGGAAACCATTCCCAGAAATAAGAGCAAGGAAGTGTTTCTCCTATGAGTGCTCATAAAGAGGACACTGCTTCATTTAGTAAACAATATCCTTACAGCAAATACCACAATGGGGGAGTATTTCATAAACCTGTTTTTAAAAGTAATATCCCCCTGATATTTTGGTTTTGAACAATGGCAAAAAACCAGAGTACAGGGCAAAGCAATTCTCTGAGGAGACAAGATGAGAGAACCTGGGTCTGCAGCTTCCTGCATGTATGACTAAATCTGATGAAAGATAACATGATACTCTTGGCATGGGTAGACTGATGTCCCTTGGGCAATCCTCCATAAATAGTTTCGCTGCACAGATTTTTGATTGGTGTTAAATCCAGCCAGTACTTAAGTGTTCCTTGTCAAGTACTTGAAGTGAAAATGTTTGCCTGCTCAGTTAGGGGCTGACCCATGGCTTTAATGCGGTGGAACCCAGAAGAAGAATGCGGTTGGCCCACGAGGGTTTCCAATAACCAAGGGTATAATAGAGAGCTTTTCAAAGATTTTTTTTTTTCAATTGAAGACCTTTCTTTTATTTTGAGATCACTCCCTTTTTATATTGTAGGCACTAAAATGACTGTTGTTTTTCAAAACAATTGTAATAATAGATGGGAAACCTATTTTGTTTTGGTTTTCCTATTTAGTAGAATTACATTTTTGGAAATGTTTTCTTCATGGAATCCAAAATATCTGAGAATGGAGCCTCTACACTCCTGTGAAAAGGGGCTGGTTCTGTGGAGTTGCAGAGCCTGTTCAGGATGCATAGCCCTCCTGACTGAGGAAGAATTAGGCTGTCCCTGGGCAGGGGTGATACTAAGTAGTTTGAAATTAGTTTTTCTTTAGTATATTCTTTTTCTTCTTCTTTTTTGTAGCTATGCAGGCTTTGAGAAAGGATATGGTTTGGGGAACCTCTAGGTCTCCTTTGGACAACCTGGATTTATTCTATTATTTACGCTAGATGAAAAAATAAACATTCAGAGTGTCTTCTGGTTTATGTTACTCACACACTTACCTCATTATGAAGCAGAATTGGGGGTGGAGGTGGGGAGGAGACACAAAGAAGATCATCGACTTGGAAAGATGGTCGTGGAGTCTGAAAACAGGTCCTTTGTTTAGCTTCTGCCTCAAGTCATGTTATATGGGTATGTGATATATGTATAATGCACAAATACAATTAAAGGGGAGGCAGAGGGATAAAGGTGGTAACTGCTTGTCTTTCCCCTACAGCTACTGCATATAAAAAGCAACAAATATTTGACTGTCAACAAGAGATTACCAGCTTTACTGGAGAAGAATGCCATGCGTGTGTCCTTGGATGCTGCAGGAAATGAAGGGTCTTGGTTTTATATTCATCCCTTCTGGAAGCTGAGAAGTGAGGGTGACAATGTATGTAAATGTAAAATTAAGGGGGAAACAGTGAGTTCATAGATGAAGCAGTTCTTAATAAGGGACAAAGGGACAAATTCTAAAAGATACAAAGAAAGGATAACTTTCAACCAACATATTTTGGTATTAGTGTCTTACTAGGCTAAATGCATGTATTTATAGTACAGACTGTGTTCAGAAGTCATAAAATCAGAATTCAAATTAATTTAAAATCACCTTCCAGTTAGAGTTTGCATGAAAGAATGTAAGCAACCTTTATGTTACTGGGTGGTTTTCAGAGTATATTCTCTTGCCTGTTTGTAGGAGGGAGCATGGTTGCAGTAAAAAAAAAAAAAGCTGTGTTTAAGATACAGAGTCTGCCCTTTGAACCAATAGAGTAACAACACAATGAGTCACAGCAATAATATACTGGCTCCATGGCAGCTTCTTACAGTCGTGTTATAGTAGATGTGGGATATATGAGGAGCTATAGGTTTAGCACCTACTTATTGATGACAGCTATGTTTATAATTAGTTGTGGACTATGTACATATTGTTACATAAATTATAGTAATTGTCAAAATATTTTCTGTTCTTTTATAGAGAAAAATTACATGAAATGATTCATTAGGATCAATAGTTTGATTTTTTGTGTGCATGTAATATATAAAATATTGGGTGAGAGTTTCTCACACTTGGGAGATGCTTAATAAATGCTGATTGACAGTGAACACCAAATAACTTTCATAAATAGAATGCCCTACCCATGTTGGGCCAGGTGGTTTTGAGGAGATTTTCAAAAATTTGACAATATGAATTCAAAGCAATATAAAATATAATTATGCAAAGAGTTTTCTCCATCAATATGTTGTTTACATTTTTAATGTGTTTTGGGTATTTCTAGACTTAGAAATGTCTTCCTTTTATTGTGAATCTACTTTTCTAGCGAATTTTAAAGTATGATTTCAATTCCACAGGATGCAACTTCATGATTTATTTGGGTTAATAAGTTATCTGGTGATATCTTCCTTAGGTAAGGTTTGGGAGAAGCATGGCATGCAGGAATGGAATGCACTTTGAACCTTGTGTTGGATTCCTTAAAAAAATAAGTTGTATTCTTTTTCTTTTGGCATCAAACAGTGTGCTGTGAGCATGATACATTTTAATTTTAGTAGTTAATTACAATCAACTCTCAATTATTCAGGGGCTGATGACAGGTTTGTGAAAGACCCATGTTTTTGATACCATTGCTTGTCCTGCTTGTCCCCCGTCACCTACTCTCTGCTCCCACCACTGAGTAGTGTCCCTGTCTATAGGTGTTCCATGAAAATTAAACATCAAAACAAACAAAACCTGAGCTCAAACTCTGAAAGAATGTGGTAAAATGATTGGATAAATTGGAGCCTTTAGGTGATGCATGGATTATATTAATTCACTGTTTATTCATTCTCTCTATTCCTTTCCCTGCTTCCAAATCACTTTACAGAGTCAATAGAGAGTTGAATGTAATGAACTATTTCAAATAATTAGTTGTACTAGAAAAACAAAACAAAACCTACCACTCAAAATGCTCCATTTTGGTGAAAATGGACAATGTAATTGTTAAGTGCAATATAAAAGTGTCCTTATCTCGATGTGCTCCCTATAGCATGGCTGAAACAACCTTCCACTTTGCTTTTTGCTGAAATAGCTCACTGTTTTTGCTCACCACTGTATAGCTTTTGTGTATGATTAAGGTTGCTGTGAAAACCTAAGCACACCCACAGCCCTATATTGGTCACATAAATAGTTGTACTGTAACCCTTATTTTCTTTCTTTGGAAGAGGTAGTGTTTTTCTAAAATATAACCTTACTGTTTTGTTGAAGGCAATTTCAAATTCTGTCATTTCTATTACTCCTGATTTTTTTTTCTCTAAAAGCCTATTAAGTTAAGAAGAAGAAATTGCAATGTTTAGGGGACTTTAAAATTATAATTTACTATTTAGCAATTAGTTAAGTATTAATTTAGGCTGTGTGTGTCCAACAAGAAGTTCTTCGACACAACCAAATGCAAGAATGAAGTGATGATAGTCAGGGGAGAAAGGTGCTCATTTCCTCAAAAATCAGTGGTCCCTCCACTTACATGTACCTTTGTAATACATGTTTAAGGATGTGGGAAGGATGGTTTTGACTCATGGATCCAACTTTCACTGTATAGAAAGCCCTTGCTTGCTGTCAAACTGTTAAAAAGTCATGGGGGACAACTATAAACTGAGAACATAAAATATTTCATTTTTATTTATTGTCTCCCGATTGAATAATTAATTTTTCATTTTCAATTTTGATGTAGGAAAACTGGGGTTCTTCACCTTATTGACAGATAGTGAAACTGTGAAAAGGCTAGATATTCTTTAAATGGAGAGAAAATTTCAATTCTTGGGGAAAGAGACTCTTTCCATCTATCAAGTAGATTTTGCTGTTTTAAAAAGTTACATACCTTGAATTTCTAGCAGAGGTGGAACTAGAACTCTGGTGTTTTGATTCCTGTTGTGATATTCTTTTCACCATACCAGGTGCCACTTCAGAAGGAGAGTGACTGCAAATGGCATTATATTGCTCTTTATTTTCAGCAAAATCCCAGCTTGATCTTACATGGCTGTTATATAGAATCCACAGAAGTGCTTTCGGAATTACAATGTTTAAAAAAAGATGTTCATGCTCTACAGGGAATATGATGGCTAATCCTAGGATGTGGCCTAAAATGACTTCACCTTCAAGTTTTGTACTAAATATGCAATTCCCCAGAAAGCTTCTGGCCCCTTCAGTGGATCAGGCCCCAAGTGGCACTCTTCTGCTAATGTTACCATGTTCCATATTTGCCAAGTTTTCTAATTAGGTGTGAATTTAGTGAGAATAGGGACTATTTCTTACATATCTGTGTTCTTCCTGGCACCTCTTACTATTCTTTTTAATTTCACATCATTGGCATTTTGTTGATTTCATTTGCAATATTGTTATTCAGCTACTCAAGGTAACCATTGTCAGCAAGACTGAGGGCCTGGAAGTTAGTGAATTAATGTTAGATTATAATTGTAAGTGCTGTGCTCATAACCCTTGGAAACTGATTCATAGACATTAAAAAACACTTTGGCTGTATGACTGGTGTCTTAAAAATATAGAAGACTTGGGGCTAGGGTGTTAGAGTATTTGCCTCACATGGGTAGGACACTGGGTTCAATCTGCAGCACATATGCATAAATAAAATAAAGGTATTGTGTCCATCCATCTACAACTAAAAATTAAAAAATATACATAGAAGACTTTATGGTGGTGTTTTGAAGTAAATATAACATATGAATTGACCCAAAGCTTATAGATGAATATGGTAAAATCGTAAGACTCAGAGCAATGTATAATATAGAGGTAACCCAAAATATTGAGTTGGCAGGACATAGCTCAAATATATCATAATGTTTAGCAACTTACTGGCTCATATTTACATGGGACAGATGAGAATGAAATAGTAATAAAATCTGTTTTTTTAAAATTGGGTGCCCAGATAAAATGTGGAATCAATCTGTTTTTTTTTTTAAAATTGGGTGCCACTGGTAAAATGTGGAATCAAGCACCCAGTAATTTTTAGTGTGGATGAGTACTTGGGCCTCTGTGTGGCTCTATGACCTGAAGCTGCCTTGGTGTCATGGGAAGGAGCTTCAATATCGTGTGTGTGTGTGTGTGTGTGTGTGTGTGTGTGTGTGTGTTTAGGAGAGGAGAGTAGTGGAAATATGCTTAGGCATATTTATTTTTACATATTTTTGTTTCTGATTTAATTTTTAAGAGGTATCATTTCATGATTAAATAGTAGAAAATCATATAAAGACTGTGAAGAGTCACTCTTACCCTTTCTCCCATCTGTCCAATCCCCACTCCCTTAACCCCCCCCAATAAAAAGATACCATGCTATGTGCCTTGCTCTTCCCCTTCATATTTGCACTTAATACTATTTCATGATGATTTCTCCTTATCTCTATGAAGAGTTTCTGTGATGAGTCTTTGAGAGTCACAACTTCTGACTTTTACTATGGACTTGGAAGGTAGGATAATGAATAGAGGCCAATCCAGTAAATAGTTGGAGTTATTTCCACAAAACAAAGTACAGCTTTCCATTGTTTGATTGGTTTGGGGATTCTTTATCATATCTGAATCTCCAAATATATTTTGTAACAATAGTACCATGTGTGACTATAGACTCCTCCAAATAATCCATATGAGGTTATCTGATATTGAAAATATGAAATTGATGTTCCTTAAAGTTTTGGTTTAAGATACATGGAGAAGTTCTGAACCCTAATTTGTTTTTCAGTTATCTATTAAACTAATTGGTATAAAATATACCAAAGGAAGCTTTTGGTTTTCATTTGGAGATGATGAGAAAGTCTATAATTGAGAGTGTAAGTGCCACAGTATTACATCTTTTAAAGAAATTTAGGGGTGTAACTAACTTTAACAACTAAAATTAACTGTTCATTATTTTTATTAAGAAAGGATAACCTTAATTCCCTACAATTTGAGTTACAAATAAAAATATTTGAAGATAAAGTAGACATTGCTATGATAGCATAAATTAAAAAATCAGCTTAGGTTTACTTCTGGAGAACTTTTCCCACAACCAATTTTAGTTTTGATGTTAAAAGGAGTACGAGGCTTAAGTAATATTAATTTAGGATGTTTAAGATAAGAGGGAACCAGATGCCAAGCCCAAACAAAAAGCATATTTTTGTAAGTCATACCTCAACTTGTATTTCCTGAATCCAGATGATATTAAAATATTTAATAAATTTCTGAGGTTATGGGAAGATCAAATTTGCCAGACTTGTGTCCCTTTACAGAGATAATACAAATATATAACATATTTTGCTTGCACTTGGAGTGATTTTGATATATATGTAGACTGGTTTCATTGTGGCAGTTGCTTTTACTCTCTATTTGCTGTGCTTGTGGTGTAAGACCTTGTGGGGAGGAACAATGAGCTGATTATGGACTTCCAGAAAGCTCCATCTGAAATGAGACTGATAATAAAAAGATTTGTTCTGGTGTTGTGAGTCCAGACTGATAGGTACTATGGGGCATGATTACATGATCATTTATTAGAATACATTTTACTTCAAAGGTAACAAGAATTGAACTAAAATTTGTGTGGAGGATAAAAAGACCAGTTGTCAGGTCAACAATGAGAACTCCTGTGCAGTTATTTTTAACTTCAGATATAGGACTAAAGATCCATGCAGTGTCTCAATTGCAATTTCTTTCTGATTTCTAGATTGTCGTAGGAGATAAAGTTGTTTTGATGCCTGTGAACGCAGGACAGCCACTGCATGCCAGCAACATAGAGCTTCTCGATAACCCAGGCTGTAAGGAGGTGAGTTCCCTAGCTAAGGACAGCGATTGTTGGTTTTCTTAGGTGGGAGAGAGAGAAAAAAAGTCACGTAGTGTCCTTCATTGTTTTCATGAGCATAATCCTAGTAAGGCCAACTAATATTTCTAACGTTCATGTAGATGCTGATTAGCTAATTTTAGATGGTCCTTTGCTGAAATTTTTATTGAGGTACATATATCAATTGTTCAAAGTTGTCTTTTTTCTTCTTTTACTAGTTGAAGTAATGATTTCTTTATAGAATGGAATCTGTAGTCTTATAACTCAATATTTCTTCATTAATAGGTGAATGCTGTTAATTGTAACACAAGCTGGAAAATCACTTTATTCATGAAATTTAGTTCCTATCGAGAGGATGTGTTAAAAGGAGTAAGTATGTGCTACATTGAATATTTGCTGGAAGAAATGAAGATAGTCTTACTAAAATTCTACCTGCAGAACCTCTGCACTCATAATTTACAATGTGACCACAAATCTTAATACTCTGAATTTTTTATTGAGTTACTCCCCACCAGTATTTTAAATGTATAAATAATCATTCAAAGCCAAGTAGCTGACAGAAGGTCCCTAAGTATTAAAACCAAAAAGAACCTTTTGTTTTTCAGGGATAATGAGAAATTCTATAGTTGAGAGTGTAGATGCCACAATAATATAACTTCTAGAGAAACTTAGCAGTGTAACTATCTTCAGTAACTAAAATTAAACTGTTTATTATTGTTATTAAAAATAATTCAGACAAATACACACTACTGTCATATATATCTAAAAAGAAATAAAAAATAAAAAAAATTAGACAGTTGTTGGAATGCAGTTTTTATTGATCTATTTTTATAGGGTGATGTTGTTAGACTGTTTCATGCAGAGCAAGAGAAGTTTCTGACTTGTGATGAATATGAGAAGAAACAGCACATTTTCCTTCGTACCACCTTGCGTCAGTCAGCGACTTCTGCTACTAGTTCTAAAGCACTCTGGGAAATAGAGGTGTGTGATTATATAGATTTTTTTTTACTTTGAATAAATATTTAGATAAAAAGGTAAGCTCCAGTAGGTTGTTTTATCATTATAGGCATCATTTATAATGTACTCATCAAACAATAATTTTTTTGTGAGCCAACTCATATCCCTTCATTGCTGTGATGGATCTGAAAGGATTCTGTGTCTTTCGCCTGTCTTCTTTGAAGTGTCTTTCATTCTCTCTCTTATATACAAACATACATTTAATAAGGCCATATATTTGATTTTGGTTTTTAAAAGTCCATTGTGAAACACCATCAAGGCTGATTGGCCAGAAAGGGCCATGAGTGAAGATGGAGCAGGATGATTCACTTTCAGTGAAGATAGATATCAGAACTAGGCTGTCACTGATGAGAACAGCTTTTTTTCTGGGGATGCCATTTCTATTGGAATCAAGAGACTCATTGTTGAGAATTTTTTCACCCTTTAGAAAGTATTTATTAAATGTGACAGGATGGTAGAGTAATTAAAAATGTAAGATATGGGTTTTTCTTTAAATTATCTTTCTCTACGGTGGAGGAAATAAGATACATAACCACTTGTGAACAATAAATTGCATCTTGATTTAATGGACATGTATGCCCATAGCAGTGGTTCTCAACTATTTCAAACCCATCTCCTACCTCCTTTCCCCTCCCACCTCCTTTTAAAGCCCATATTTTGTAGTGCTTCCCATAGTGCCCTAAAATGAAATATACAAGTTCTCATGATTGAAAACAAATATAATATTCCATTCTAATATAAAGAAGAAACAAAAGGAAAATACTTTATAATAAAATGATATGTATTTCAACATGTAAATGACTACTCTGGAAGATACGATATTTATATCTATCTTTGATAAACCCATTTACATCCTGGATTAGAGAGAAGAGGTAGAAGAGGATCTGAAGTCATTCCATACAAGTTTAGGAAAATGAAAGAGCAAAGGTAATTGTGAGACCTTGATTAATAACTAGTAGGAGAAGTAAAAAAAACAGAACAAACTTATTTGCACATGATAAAAGAAATAGAGGGAAATAACCACCAGGAGGGTGTAACAAGGCCTGTTACAGAAACTTGAACCAAAATGAGGAAGTATGATGTTTATGCAAATGAGCTGTGCCTTATTAATAAATGTAGCTAACACCCAAAGAATTCTTGATGTTATGACATGGGTTAGAATAGAGATGAAAGGATATGATAAAACACTTTTCCTGTCTTGACATCCCCGACTTGTTGAGGCACACCTTTAGTGTCTGGTATTTAGAAAAACTTTGGTGACTGTAGCTATCACCAGGTGACAGAACTGAGAAGGTGTGGGAAAAAAAACCATCACTAAAGCCAACAGCACAGGAGGCTGCATTAGACCTTTGCCAGAGGCTGCCTCCCTCTTCAGGGTAAGGCTGAATAGTAACAGGCAACCCCCCAAATAAATAAATAAATAAATAAAACATGAATTTGTACACTGCTGATTTCTTATTGTATTCCAAAAATTAAAAAAAAATCATCAAGATAGAAACACTGTAAGATACTATTTAAAAACTTCACTCATGAAGTATAGTGAGCTCCCTGCTTATTTAATATTTGGTTCCAACTGTGTTACAAGGAGTTTTGAAAACTCTGCCATCTCTTTAGTTGCATGACTTTTGCTGAAACTGCACCACAGCCATGAAACCCTCTCCAGCAAAAGTGTAGATGGAATTTCTGTGACACATTGAGCAGTCAGATGGAGAGGGAATAAGTTATTTAAGGGCTTTGAGATAATGTCTTTATTACATTTAAGCTCCCTTCTCCATCATGAATTCATTAAATAATTGGACCTTTCAGATAACTTGATGCAAAAGCTTTTTAGAATGGTCATGTGCTGAAGTATTACCAATGTGTATTTGTGGAAGAGGTTTGAATGATGCACGCTCAGGGTGCATCTCTATTGTATGCTTTAACAGCTGGGTTTCCTCAGGAAGCCTGGGCCTCATGCTCTGTCAGCATGAGGCTCAGGCATTTCATGCAAAGAGGTATTTAATATAGGAATTAGATCTGACAGTATTAGAGGGGCTGGAGGAGGAAAACTGGTATGGGGGACATGGACTTATTGAAGATCTAGAATGACAGAAAGCCACCCTCCTCTGAGCCTGCAGGCCTGTCCTCACATGCTATGCTGTCCCCAAGCACCCACCCTGTAGGAGACTACTGTCACTAAAAGAGGAACCTTTCTGCTGCTATCTTCCTCTGCTTTCCATTCTCATGGAAATGCCCATAACCTCACCAGGCAAGGTTTCTTTCCCCTGATATAGAGAAGCCTCTGGGCTCTCTGTTAATGCAAGTCTTAGCATTTGGGATTCCCTTTGCCTGGAATGATCTCGTCAATCTCTGCATGACTGTCTTGTTCTCTTTCTTCAAGTTTCAGCTCCCATGTCATCTCCGAGTAACCCATGTGGATGGCTATATAGAAATTAGCATTTCCTAGTTACTCCACCATGCACTCTTGTCTCTTTCCTTTTCAAATCTTATTTTTTTCTTTGTTTTCTAATTTTTCTTCTCCATTAGCATGAAATATGTAGTCATTTCCATTGCCTGCCCTTATTGTCTTGAAGGGTACCTGGCCTATAATCAGTTTTTACTACCATCTATTGAATAAGAGATGGGGGAGAACCACAGTCTTGGGTTTGGGTTGGGCCAGTTTTTGTTCTGGAAATTGCCTTATGGAATGAGACAGTATTTGCAGATGTAAGACATATATCTTATGCATGCATAGTGAGTTAACAACCATTAGTCCATCTCTTTTGCTCACTTCTAAAGAATTTTGTTGGCCTGCTACATCATACTCTCATGAAAACGTGTATTAGATTTTACAGGTCAGTATTAACAGGAGGGCACTCTGCATAAACTATTGGCATTTGTTTGCTGGAACATGAATACCATTTGATATTATTGTAATTACTGTCTTTGTAGGTGGTTCACCATGACCCATGCCGTGGAGGTGCAGGCCAGTGGAACAGCTTGTTCAGATTTAAACATCTTGCAACTGGGAACTATTTAGCTGCAGAGGTAAGATTATGGGATATGCTGCAAATAAGTCACTAACTCTGAAATAGAGAAATAGGCAATTGGTTTCTCCAAAAGGGATAATTGTTATATAGATTTGATTATTGCCTGTAATATTCTGGGTTGGCATATAAATTATTTTTAAAAATGTAGATAATAGTCAAATTCTTAAAATAAAAATGAAAGTAACAATGAAAAAAAAACTTTGCAGTTGATCTTATTGTAAGGTCAGCTGAAACAGGGCATCTGACTTGCATATGTATGTGATATGGTCTAAAATTTTCTATTTTTAGTCTCAATCTTTCAGAGTATCTGTATTAGAGGCATGATCAGTTCATTGTTGATGTGTATGTGACCCACAGTATGTCAGGTTTACATTCAGTGGCCACTCTTTCACCAGTAGGTGGTTTTTATTGTTCAAACCTTTGGAGAGGAAAGGGTTTTGTTCTCTATTCACTAAACTGTCCTAAAACTGTCAATAAGAATAATAAAAACATATGAAGGACTTTTTAAAAAATAATTTTTGGATATTCATTTATTCTAAAATTAGCTTCTGTGTTTCTATGGTGATATTTTGATAGAATGTTCTTATTTCTTTTTAAAAATTATTCTTTTTAAAAAAAGTTAATTTGTTTTATATTACAACAGAATGCATTACAATTCATATTACACATATAGAGTACATTTTTTCATATCTCTGGTTGTGCACAAAGAAGAGTCATATCCTTTGTGTCTTCATACATGTACTTAGAGTAATGATGACCATTACATTCCACCTCTTTTCTACTCCTATGCTCCCTTCCTTCCCCTCCCTCCCCTTTTCCCCTTTGCACTATCTAGACTTTTCTTTTTCTTCTAAAAGCATATTGACAATCAGATGTGAAGAGTGGTAGAAATACCATCAAAAAAGATCTTAGAAATAGTTCAAGTTTGGTTATCTAATTTAAAAATAACTTTGAAACTATCCTTATTTTATTTGTTTATTTTTGGTACTGGGAATTGAACTCAGGGCTGCTTAACTCCTGAAACATGTCCCCAGCCCTTTTTTAATTTTTTAATTTTGAGACAGGGTCTTGCTAAGTTGCTGAGTCTGGCTTTGAACTGGTGATCCTCCAGCATCAGCCTCCCAAGCTGCTGAGATTTCAGGTGTTAAACCATTGCTCCTGGCCTTGAAAATATTCTATTTTTTAAATGTGTATAGAAATATTCATTCTGTTCTTTACTCTGTTTCTGGTTTTTTAGAATTTCTTTTGAGATTGTAATCCAGAGGTCTAAAAGGCTTTAACCATCACTTATCTGACTTCTGGTTTTGGGTGTGAGGAGAGATAAGGAGGGAAGTGGTGTTGGTAGACTGATTAGAAGAGACACGGGGAACAGGGAGGTCTTGTAGGTTCTATAAGGGTATGACTCATCTCTACTTGCAGCCAACCCCATTACCCTCACAAACCTGGTCCTCTGTGGTGTTCTTCATAGTACTCGCCATCTGACTCCGTGTGCTCTTTATTTTAGTGACTGTCTGTCAAGGGATCACTTTCTATGCCTGATCTTAGCCAAAGGGCCAACAAGTGATGAGTGTACCAGTGCTTTTTGGAGGCAGGGATCTTGGTTTTCACCATCACTGGATCCCCAGCACCTAGAACAGTGGCTGGCACTTGGAAAGCATTTGATGGATATTTTCTGAGTAAATAAATGAATATAAAAGAGCTGTGCAGACTTCTGTAAGATTAGAGTGTGGGAAGAAGGAGACTTCAGGATTTGTATGTAAGAGGCATTTGCAGCCATATTTGTTGCCAATTAATCTCTCAAAACTCCACTTTCCTACTCTGGAAAATGAGGATAATTAAATATAATTAAATTAAGAGAACTAAATGAGGTAAAATGCTTGGTGTAATGTGTGGCGCAAGGTAAGCACCCAGGAAGTGATACCAGCATGATTAATTTTATTATATGATAAATAGGGATCACTCTTACTCTTATAAATATCTGGCACATTATTTACTGCTCAACTAAATGTAACGTGGCTTTGTAATTTCTAGGCTATCTGTACAATAAATATCTCAAAGTAACCCTTTTGAAAAGTAACTCTTTGAAGCAAATATGCACAGTAAAGCAGAAAATCTTGTCTAAAATAAGAATTAGAAAAACCTAATGCAGTCTGTCAAGGTAAGAAATTAGGATTAAAGTCCCTTTGGATTCTGTGTCAGTGATTCTTTTTCCTAGTTCACTTTTCAATTAATACCATTTTACTTCTGACATTCTGTAGGAAACTGACATGATATGCACATTCCTTATTAATTTCTGTGAATAAAACATATCATTTGATAAATTCAAATGGTTAGATTACTAGGGATTAAATTGTTCATCACCTTCTGTGATGATCCAAGACTTTGATACACAAATGAATTAATTAAAAGATTGAAAAATAGAAAGCCATTGATTCCTTGAAAAGATTTTGTTAGACTATCTTTTCATTCTGTCTCTAGAGAACATAGTTTTAAATGCCAGAAGCTATTTTATCCATTAAAGAGTCTGGTGTATTTGGAGGACCTTTTCTTTGACCTTTAATTCTGTAGATAACATCTTTTTTATGGCAAGGTAGGAGAAGAAGAATTAAGTATTAAATATATATCTAAAAATTGAAAGCTAGAAATCTATTTTCTATAGATTTTATCTAATAGAATGGGTGCTTCTGTGTAATATTTTAACATTGAAATAGAAACCGTAGCTTCAAAACACTGGCTTTCATAAGCTGTAGTTTTCTGTTTCCTGCATCAGTAGTTCAGATAAGAGCCTGGCACACTGATGTCCCAGGGTGCATGTCCTGGAGGGGTGGCCAGTCACAGTCACTTGATAAAAAATTGATTTCAAGCCAGGAAGCAGGTGGTGACCAGCTTCTGATAGTCATGGAGAAACCATGATTATCCTTTTGTCATTTTGCTTTTTAAAAATTCCCCAAATCTCAATTAAAAAGATTATTTGGGTCATTGAGGCACTACAGGGAATTCCTCAAAATTTGAGTTACAACCTCCTGACATTATTTGTTTTATTGATCTACACTCTTCTTTTTGGGTGCGGGAAAGATCTATGGCTTTTATTTATCAAATATTTTTGTTTTATCTTTAATGTCTACGTATTACTTTGTATTAGGATGTTGAAAACTAGCGTTGTAAATGACAACTTTTGGAATTCATAAAAACATCAAACATCATCTCTAAGATTCCATAGACCCTTCCATCTGTGTATCTTCAGTGCCTAATAAATGCACAGTCGGGCAGAGTGCTTTACATATAGCCGAGGAAGCAAAGGACTGTCTGCTCTCCAGGAATTGGCCTTGGAGTTCAGAGGATAGTATGTAATCAACAGCCAGAGCCTGTAGGTAAGGTCATACAGAGCTACTTACCTGTGCTGGTGGAACTGGTCAGTGTAAGATGAGTCCAAAGAGTTCTTGCTTGGGGTGAATTTTTTCCCATGGTTCTCAAAGAAAGTAATAGACATGGTTTGGAAGAGAAAAACCTTGTAGGAGTCATCAAGAAGGCACAGACATGGATGTGAAAAGTTTAAATCATATGTAGACAATATAAAAACTAAGGCTCACTTCAAGGAAAGGGTTGTGAAAGGGATTATTGACAGTTCACTTTCCTTTAAGATAATGAATGAAGAATTTGGATTTGCCATAATTAGTAATAGAAATGAGATTTCAGGCAATTTCTCCTAGCAACCTAGAGGCTGTGACTAAAGGACTATTTGAAACCATTGAAATAGACCAGTGAAGACATTAAAAAAATCCAATCTGCCCTTGAAGAGCTCCCGTATAGTGTGGCAAATATGTGATAGCAGTAGGAATAGTAGCGTGCTTATGGGGAAGCACTGAAGTGCTGCACATCTATGCCAGAGGGTGCCAGGGAGCTGCACGGAAGACTGAGGAGGCTGAGGAGGAGCTGCTTGCTGGATGAGTGAGGAACATGGGGAGAGACAAAGGGGGCTCACGTAGTGAGGGCAGCTTGTACCTGAGCAAGGAGGCATGCATGTCATGCAGTGTGATTTTGTGTGACTGATACATGTGGAAGTTGTGCTAGATGGTGGGAGGGACTGTTCAGATTAGAAATGTAGTTCAGAGCATATCCACTAAATTAAGAAGAGTGGGTTTAACTTTAAACTAAGAGGAGTTTTATAAAGAACATTGTATTTAAAGAAGACCACTCCAGAGTTGAACTGACCAACATGTTGCCTTCTAAGCACATATTGGCTACTAGATTAAAATTAATATCATTAAAATTAAATGAAATCCAAAAGTCAGTTTCTTAGTCATGCTACCCACATTATGTGTTGTCCATTGGCTACTCCATCTGGGATAGCACAAGTATCGGACATTTCTGTGGTCAAAGAGAAAGTTCTAGCGTATAGTGCTGGTCAGGAACTTTGTGAAGTAACCAGAAGAGACTGGAGTTAGAAGCAGAGGACCAGAAACTTTGAGGACCTGGGCCAAGGGGATGGCATTGATAATGGTAAGGAGGCGAAGGGTTGAAGATATTTTTAGGAGGCACAATCAATGGCATGGTAACCATGAAATGGTAGAGTTTAGGAGTAGAAGAATTTCAGATTTGAAGAACTGGATATGTCACTTCTCAATTTGGAGAAAATGGGAGATAGTGCCAAGTTAATGAAGGAACTAATCCATTCTGTTCTGATTAAATTTGGTTGGGGCTGCTTATAGAATGTCCAGGTGAAAATGTCTAATAGGCACAGGCTTCACAAATGGTTTAGAAATTCGGGGATTGACTAGGGCTAACAAAGTAGATTTCATTCTCATCTCTAGAGAGAAGATCATTAGGGAGTGTGAAAGAATGGTGAGATGTTTAAGACAGAACCACAAGGAACATTATCTTTTAAGGGTGGACAAAAGACTGGGAGCCTGCCAAGCCAGAGAAGCAGCTGGAAAACCAAGTGGGTTGAATCACAAATGCCAAGCAAGGGAAGGATAGAGTTTCAAAAAGGAGGGAGTG